GCAAGTTAGCATCTCTTGAGTCTCAGTTTCCTCTTCTGTAAAACAGGAGAAAAAAATATTGGGGGAAGGGAGCAAGGGACAGCAGGGTAAACGTGACCCTCAGAGACCTGTGTTCAGTGTCCCCATTGCTCCCTGGTTCTGTGACTGTGGGTAAATTATTTCCCTCCCTGGAGCCTCTGTTTCCTTCTTTGAAAAATGAGGCAAAAGGTATTCTGCTCGTGTAGGGTTTATTGGTCACTTTCAATTTTTTTTACATGTATATGGGAGACTGGGGTTTTGAACTCAGGGCTTCACGCTTGCAAAGCAGGCACTCTACCACTTGAACCACACTGCCAACCCATGATCACTTTCACTAACGCAACATAAGTAAAGAACTTCATACGTGCCTGGAGCATTGGAGGTATGCAGTCAAGTCAGCTTGCCTTTGCCTCAGTTTCCCCATCCAGAACTGAAGGGGTTGGATTAGATGGTCCAAGATCATGATTCTAAATTTATGTACTGGATTCCTTGGGGTCTCGGCTCCACTCTTAAGCACCACCAAAGTGTAGACAGTGGGGTGTACAGTGGGGCACAGGCTGGTTGCAGGGCGATTTGGAGCCTTGTTTTTCTTGGAGGTGCCCTGAAGGCTGGGAGACTCTCCTCTCCCTCCGTCCAGGCTTGGAAAAGAATCTAGCCTCCTGCCTTTATTTCCAAAACAGTTCCTGGCTCAGACACTGGAACTCCTCTGGGGCTTTCAGGAACCTCCCGGCTCCAGCTGTGAGAAAAGCCTTCCTCCTAGTGTGTCCCAGAACCTCCCCACCCACCCCCAGCTCAGAGCCAGCTGTAGCTGAGAGGCGTCCTCTGGCGCAGCACAGGCCTGGGCTGAGGAGAGGAAACTGGGACACGTGGCTGGGCGTGGAGGTCAGAAGAAAGCCAGAGCCTAACTGGGACAGGTAGTCCATCCATACCCACCTCCCCATCTCCTCCCTACCTGTTTGTTGTTTGCAGGATTCTCTGCCTTGATCACTCCCTCCCATTTCCTTCTTCACTCTCTCAGATCTGTTTATAGATTACAACTTCCCAAATCATTTCAAACCTGCTTTGAAAATGCAATTCCTATTCTGTGAGAGGAGGTTTTCCAAGACACTCATCAAATAGGAAAGGGACAGAGACAGTGAATCACAGGGCCTGCAGAGTGGCTGGGCCACGCTTTTCCAAAAGCACCTGTCACTCACGCAATATGTGCGTGACATTGGTCATACCTGCCTGGCACCTCTTCGTTATTTATTATGTTGAGCAAATGTGGCACGAGAAAGAATCACACCACAGCTTCACTTTTGCCTCCGTCTGCCCCGCTATAAAATTTGGTTAGTGACTTGCCCCTAGCTGAAGTAATCCACACTTCAACCTTCATGCATTCAGAAGGGTTAGCCAAGGGGTGACCCTGTCAGAGCCACTCACTCACCCTCTCAGCTCAGCTCACTGCAGGGTGCAGGGAGCAGAGGAAGGGGACAGAGAGTGACTCCTACATAGTTTACTCCTGGGACAGGGACTACACTGCTCTCATCTCCAGGCCTGGCAGACATGTGAAGTTGCCTCTCTCCCTTTGGGGCTCTCCTACTGGGTGCTGTGACCGTAGCACTCATGATATGGACACTACACATTTTCCTTCCTCTGGCAAATCCAGGCCTCCCCCTCAGCTGGAGGTCTTCTGGTGTCTACCCCTCATGGTTGTCACATTGGAGGTCCTACTTTCCATCAGAATCCCTTGGGGCCTAAGCCACTCCTACTGCAGGATGTCTGAATCTTCCATCGACCAGGGGAGAGCACAGGGTGGTCAGCCCCCTTCCCGCACAGCAGCAGCTGTATCTTGGCTATTGTAAATAATATTGCAATGAATATGGGAATATGGTTATCTTAAGATCCTGATTTTCATCCTTTTGGATATATAGCCTGAAGTGGGATGGCTGGATCATATGAGAGTTCGATCTTGTCTTTTTTTAGGTTTTGTTTGTTTGTTTGTTTTTGCGATGCTGGGGCTTGAACTCAGTGTCTACACCTCAAACCATTCCACCAGCCCCTTTTTGTGATTGTTTTTTTCCAGATAGGGTCTCACAAACTATTTGCCTGGGCTGGCTTGGAACTTTGATCCTCCTGAGTAGCTGGGATTACAGGCATGAATCATCAGCCCCCGGCGGGAGTTCTGTTTTAAAATTTTATAGCTACCATCCCATTTTATATCCCCACCTTTGTTTACATTTCTTTTTCTTGATTTGATGGTGCAATCCCACTTTCTGCTGTATGTGAGATACCTGATCCTCAAAATCTTTCCATTTTCACATCTTATCTTTTCAAATGAATATTGGTATCAAGTTAAATTAAATTTGGCCTAAAGCTGACTCCATACTTTGAATCCCTCTGTAGCAAACTGCAACCTAACTTAATGTATAAACTAGCTGCAACCTAAGTTACCTTCTTTGTAACAAATTAACTGAGCCTCATCCAATCACAGCAGTCAAGCTTCAGCCAATCAGAAGCTGCCAACTGATCAGATATCCATCTAAGGTAAATGCCTCATCAGGCCAGTAAGACTTAATTTGCCCAAATAAGGCAAAATCTTGGCTATAACTAATCAAGCTGTTTCTGTGTACCACTATCTTTTTTTCTATCTATAAATACTGCTGCCCATATTGCTGAGCAGAGCTCTCTGTTCTCTTGGTTCTGGGTGCTACCAAATTTATGAATTCATAGTTGCTCTAATAAACTGCTACAGTGAAAAAAATACATGCACACACTAACTCCCTGTTGATGGTCTCAATCTCCTTCCTTTTCTTTTTGCCTTCTTTCTGTAGCTCTACATACCAAATTCTACTTATTAGAACCAGCAGAGTGACTTAAGTGATAGAGCACCTGCCTACCAGAGCGAGGCCCTGGGCTCATCTCTCAGTACAGCAAAAAAAAAAAAAAAAAAAAAAAACCTAAATATTGTACTTATTTATGTTTATTGTTTCCCCCGCTAACACATAACCTCCAAGAGGGACTTTAGACTCCAGGCGTGATGGCTGAATTCTCAAAGAGGAGTGCCTGGCACTTGGTAGGTTCTCAATAAATACTTGTTCTAACTTTTTTTTTTTTCTTGCATTACCAGTGTTTGAACTCAGGGCCTTGCACTTACTAGGCAGGTGCTCTACCACTCGAACCACTCCGCCAGACTAATACTTGTTGAAAAAATGACTTAGTATGGGAAAAAGGGGGGGATGGGTCTGCACTGCTACAGACGGGCATATGATTTGATAGCAGGAGATATCAGAAAGAGGTTAAGAGACAAGAAAGACACCGTCACCAAGCTGAGACTTTTCCCCCCAAGAAACTGGAAAGAATAGTTGTTACTCCATGACTCTACTGTATTTTAAGTAACATCTGGTCCTGGTTCTACCTGCCCAGTGGCACCTCTATGACATTTCCCCAGAGAAGCCCACTGGAATCCAGAAAAGGAAGGTGGCTTGCCTGAAGTTACACCCCTGGAGCATCAGAGCGGGAGTTGCAGTTGACCAAAGACAGCCCAAAAGCCTGGACAGTTCCCCATGCCAAGGGCAAAGCAGGGTCACATCCAAAAGGATGTGGAGGGACCAGAAAGGAAACCTGAGCTCCAGGGCTTGAGCAGTGTCACCATCCTCCCCACAGCCTTGCAGTCCCATGAGCCCCTGCAGGCTCTGGTTAGGGACCCAAAGGCTGTGTGAGGACAGTGAAGCCAGCAATGCTTCAGATACAGAGAGAGAAGGAAGACCATAGGATGAGGGCTCAGCATCCCAGCTGGATAGGACCTTAGAAAACAGCTAGTCTAGCAGTTCTCCAGGTGGGGTCCCCAGGCCGCCATTCACAGTGCCACTTAGAAACTTACTGCGAGTGCAGTATCCAACATGCCTTTGAACTAGTGACTCAGAAACTTTTGGGGTGGGACCCTCCAGGCAGATCTGGTGCACACTCAGATTGGGAATTACTGCTGTAGTCCAACCCCTGTTGTTCAGGTGGGGAGACTGAGGACCAGAGAAGGAAAAGGGCACAAACCAGTCAGCAGTCAGGGGCTCCTCCTCACAGCTGAAGTCATCCTGGAATGACACTGTTGATTACCCAGCAACAGAGGCGATTTGTCAGGACATCTTGGCAAGCTACTTATTTCTGCTTTGGGCCTCAGTTTCTGCATCTGCACAGTGGGAGTGGGGAGGAGAGAACGTCAGAGTGCAGAACCCACTGATCAGTGAGTTAGAACCTTAACACCGGGCTTCAGGGATGGCTGGGTCCAGCCTTAAAGACCGTCTAGCTCTAGATCGGCATGGCCTTGCTCCCATCCCAGCCCTGTTGGCTCTCACTGCATGACTTAGAACCACAGCTCAGCTTCTCTGACCCTCTGTTTCCTCACTTGCATCTTTGCCATAAAGGTCTCTGTTATTGTATTGGGGGTACACTGTGACATTTACAAAGTTCTTACAATATATTGTAGATAAATTTACTCCCTCCGTCATTCTCTTTTATTCCCCTCATTCCTGGAACAGTGTCAACAGGTCTCACTTTTCCACTTTCATACATGAGTACATAATATCTCCACCACATTCACCCTTTCCTTATATCCTCTCCCCTCCTACTGGTGTCAACCCCCAGACAGGACCTTTTTTTAACCTTCCTAGAAGCAGCATAGGACATTTCTCCCACATACAGCTCCCAGGTGTCCATCCCTGGAAAGTAAATTCCTTTGTCTTTCAGCCCCTCTGGAGGAAAATGGACTGATGAGGTCTGATGAACTCTCACCCTCAGATAGCTCCACATTGTATCTGGACACGTGACTCAGCTCATCCAAATACGTCCACACGATACAGTGACACTCTGTCCAGCTCTCTGAAGGTGACTCTGGAAAGAGCGAGGGACAGAATCACCCTCACAGGTGTCTCTACCGTCACCTGCTCCTCTGCATGCCTTTCAGCTCCACGGCCACTCATCTGCCACCATTCTCTTGCCTCCCACAGGCAGCCACCATGATCCCCTGGGTGTTCTTGGCCTGTGCCCTCCCCTGTGCTGCTGACCCGCTGCTGGGGGCCTTTGCTCGCAGGGAGTTCCAGAAAGGCACCCCTCAACTCGTCTGCAGCCTGCCTGGCCCCCAGGGCCCACCTGGCCCCCCAGGAGCCCCGGGACCCTCAGGAATGATGGGAAGAATGGGCTTTCCTGGTAAAGATGGCCAGGATGGCCAGGACGGGGACCGAGGGGACAGTGGAGAAGAAGGTAAGAGGCCTGGGCCTGGGTTCAGTTCCTGCCTGGATTTGACAGCACCTGGCACAGAGGGCGCTTATTCAGTTGCTGAAACTAGTATTAGTTCTTTTATTTTTTTGGTGGGACTGGGGTTTGAACTCGGCCTTGTGCTTGCTAGGCAGGCGATCTATCTCTCGAGCCACGCCCCCAGCCTTTTTTGCTTTAGTTATTTTTCAGGTAGGGTCTCTTATTTTTGCCCAGGGCTGGCCTTGGACCACAGTCCCCCTACTTACACTTCCTGTGTAGCTGGGACGACAAGCATGCACCATCACATCCAGCTATTCGTTCAATCAGGGTCTCACTTACTTTTTGCCTGGGCTGGCCTTGAACCCATTCTCCACTTCCTGAGTGCCACCATGCATGTGACCAACTCTTTTTTGTTAGTTTGTTTTTGGTTTTTTTTGAGATAGGGCCTCACTTTGTAATCCAGGCTGGCCTCAAATTTGAAATCGTCTTGCCTCTACCTCCCAAATGCTGGGATTGTAGGCGTGACCACTGTGCCCAATTTCATTCCTTTCTTTATAGCCAAAATTTCTGTCTCTTTATAAACTGTTTCTGAATGGAACAGAGGACATCAAATCAGGTGTTCCTGACTCTGCTGCACCTTTGAATTGCTAAGTAACGTGGAACAAGTCTCCTGAAATACTATGCAAACGCCTCTTTGGGTTGACGTGACTGAAACCCAATTTATAGCCCCAAGTAGAATTTGTTAAGAAACTGAGCCGGGTGTCAGTGGCTCATGCTTGTTATCCTAGCTATTCAGGAGACAGAGATCAGGAGGATTGCAGTTTGAAGCCAGCCCAGGCAAATAGACCCTTTCTCAAAAAAACCCATCACAAAAAGGGCTGGTGGAGTGGCTCAAGGGTAGGCCCTGAGTTCAAGCCCCAGTACTAGAAGAAAAGAAAGATAGAAGGAAGAAAACAAAGGAGGGAGGGAGGAGGGTAGGAAGGAAAGAAGGAAGGAAGGAAAGAAGGGAGGAAGGAAAGGAAGGAAGGAAGGGAAGAAGGGAGGAAGGGAAGAAGGGAGGAAAGGAGGAACGGAGAAGACCAAGAGCTGGGCTTCAGGAGTGGCTAGATGGAGGGACTTAAATACTTGTCGGGGCTCTGCTTCTGTCTTTGTTGGTTTCATCCTCACAAAGGCTGGAAGTTCTGAACCAGCAACTGGTGGGTCAAGTCTACATCCTGTGACTTTGTCCATATAGCAAATCTCAGAATGACCAACGCTGGGAGGTCACAAGTGTACCCTGGCCCAATCCCTTGGATCACGGGGTCTCCCGTGTGCAGGACTGGGTAATGTGTCACACCTGGTGTTTGTGAGTGGGTGGTGAGTGCATTTAGTCCTTGGGGATGACAGCTCCACTGGGAGCCATAAAGTAGTGAAGGATGAGTCCCCAAGGAAGGGATGCCTGGCCACCAAACCTACCGCATAGCTGCAGGCTTTCGCCCAGCACTCTTCAGTGTCACCATCCCCAAATGCACATGTTAAGCAGTGAGAAATAATAATAACTTATTTTTTGCTGCTAAGGACTAAACCCAGGGATTTGCTCACACTACATACACGCTGTATGCCACCAGCCTTATACCAACTTTTTTTGCCTCGAGTTTTAATAGGCATTTTTGAGTAACTTTCTCATCTGACCTCCTGGCTGTCAATACCATCCCATAAAGGGGATATTCTTATTACCTCCTAGTACATGTGAGGAAACTGAGAGGGTAAGTTAAGAACAGCACATCAAGCTGGTGTCTGTAGCTCACATCTGTAGTCCTAGCTACTTGGGAGGCTGAGATCGGGAGGACTGAGGTTTGAGGCCAGCCCAGACAAAAAAGTTGTCAAGAGCTCATCTCTAAAATAAATAACCAGAGCAAAATGGACTGGATGTGTGGCTAAGGCAGCAGAGCACCTGCTTTGTAAGCACAAAGACCTGAGTTCAAACCCCAGTCCCACCAAAAAGAAAAAAAAAAAAGAATAGCACATCCTAGTCGTAAGGAGTTGAACTTTGGAAACTAACCTGGAATCTAATTTTGGCAATGCCCTAATCTCTCCCTAGCCATCAGTTTCCTCATCTCTTTGACAGGGACAATGGTAGCACCCATTCCGCCAGGCTGTGGTGAAGATGAAATAGAATAGGGGTAATGCACTAGTCGATGCATGTTAGTCACCCCTCAGTGGACTGCTGAGCTCCCATAAGCTAGGAGCAGACCCCAAATCCAGGCCATTTCCTACCACACCCAATCAACTCTGCTAAAAGTACCTCCCTCTCAGAAGTGTCGCTCTAAGAGGAAGGACAATGGCTTGGACTTTATGCCAGGTGCTGAAAGTCAGGTGCTGGCCACCGTGGTAGACTGAACACATGCTCCAAGCAGGGACTTTCCTGGAGATTTGCCTGTGATGATAGGCAGAAAGTCTCCGCTGCTGATGCTCCCCTGGGTCAGAAGCAGTGAAGGCAATGCCTCCAGTGTCCTGAGGAAGGCAAAGTCAAGAGGCAGAGATGGAGAGTCCTGACATGCATAACCCAGATAAAGCCAGGTCACCCGGGACCACTTCAGGGGTAGCAAACAACCACCCCCAACACATACACAAATCCATCCCAGAAAGCTCTGAAAAGCAAACTCAAAACAAGCAAGAAGGAAACATATCACACAGCCCATGGTAGAAGTTCCTGGGAAACCAGGCATGGTGACACTTGCCTACAATCCCAGCTACTCATGAGGCAGAAATTAGGAGGACTGCAATTTGAGGCCAGCCAGGGCAAAAAGTTAGCAAGACCCCAACCCCACAAACAAACCAGGCATGGCGGTGTGTGCTCGGGGGTCCAGCACTTGGGAGGCTGAAGCAGGAAGCTCACAAGTTCAAGGCGAGCCTGGGCTGCATAGTGACATCCTCAAATAAAAAGCTACTGGTACACGTCCTTACTTTTGTGTCTCCTGGGAAATAACTACAAGCCACGACGACAGTCTCTATTTCCCTCCTCCTGGCCCCTTCTCCCACCTCTTGTTTATTTTATCAAGGAACAGCTCTGTGGCCTTCTGGTTTCATTTTTTCCCTATTTTTTGGGTACTGAACACTGAACTTGGGCTTTCTTGCATGCTAAGCACTGACCTACAAATCCTTTTTGTTTTTTTTAAATTGTATAAGTAATGCACAAATACGACCTCGTCATAATATATCCAGACAACACAGATAAAGCACAGTCCTCCTTAGCCATTGCTCCCTCCCTTCCTCCTCCTCCAGTCCTCCAGAGATGCTCTATCCATCCACCACATGTGCTCTCTCTGGCCCTCTCCTGAGAATTGAATACTAGTGGGCGAATGACTCCAGGAGTGTAACACCAGGCATCGCCAGGAAGCAATCTGCTCCTGAAAATTAGGCTTTCAGTGAGAAAATGCTGCTTGGAAATCTCTTTCCCAATGATTTAAAAGAGGAAATCCAGGTGCCAGTGGCTCATGCCTGCAATCCTTGCTACTCTGGAGGCAGAGATCAGGAGGATCGACGTTTGAAGCCAGCCTGGGCAAATAGTTCATGAGACCCTATCTTGAAAAAAACCCATCACACAACAGGGCTGGCAGAGAAGCTCAAATGGCAAAGCAACTGCCTAGGATGCACAAGGCCCTGAATTCAAACCCCAGTATCACCAAAAAAATCAAATAAAAATTAAAAAAGGAAAAATTTAAATGTATGACATAATTCAAACCTCTAAAACTCAATGAAAAGCCTACATATGTTCATAGACGATACCTTGTCAAGACATGAAACATCTAAAACATTATTTCCTCAAAGCCCTCAGACACAAGACCATGGATCACTTTTTTTCAGTACCTCTATGCTGGGACTGGCAGTGTGGCTCAAGTGATAGAGCACCTGCCTAGCAAGAATGAGGCTCTGAGTTCAAACCCCAGTACTGCCAAAAAGAAACGAATACATTACATCTACACTCAGTTCTGCTGTTCTACTAACCGGGGAGTCAGGACTTGTGTGACCATGACAATAACAGTTGTATTCAGATGCAACTCAAATCTTTGTCCATATATATTTTGAAAATGTTGTATTGAAGCTTAAAAATGTAGTACTGAGAGAAACTCATATGTTATAAAATCTGAATACTGAAAACCAACAAGTGTTGCACAGCAAAATGTGATACAGAAAATGTTCTCTCACACGTGCCATCTAGTGTGTGGTGAGCATTTAGGCCGGACACAGTCCTGGTACCTAAGTGGGTAGAGGGATTTTAGTGTCGTGGTTTTCCTGTAACATGAAAGATTCTGCCATCTGCTCTTTCCTCTTGGCATCCTTTATTTTATTTATTTCTATTTTGTTGGCGGTACTGGGGTTTGAACTCAGAGCCTCACACTTGCTAGGCAAGTGCCACCTGAGCTACTCCGCCAGCCCTCTTTTGTGATGGGTGTTTTTGAGGTAGGGTCTCAAGAACTGTTTGCCCAGGCTGGCTTTGAACCATGATTCTGATCTCTGCCTTCCAAGTAGCTAGGATTACAGGCGTGAGCCAATGGAACCCAGCTTGGTATCCTTTAGAGCTGGTTTCTTACAGTATGTGTAAATCTCCTTATTTCTTTCTAACACCTGTGTAGAGTTCCACAGTATGGATGGACCATAGTTTTTCATCATTTCCCTTGGGTGGGCATTTCCTTGTTGCTATTTTTTTTTTCACTAATGTAATCAGTGCTGCAGGGAAGCCCCTGTACGCGTGTGTTGCCAGAGCTCTGGGGCACTAGACCGGACTTTACCAAAGCTGATGTTCTTTGTCATTTTTTTTTTCCTTTTTTAATTGTTGTACTGGGGGTACACTGTGACACTTACAAAAGTTCTTACAATGTATCATAATTGAATTCACCCCTTCTATCATTCTCCTTCATGCCCCCCATTCCTGGAATAGTTTCAGCAGGTCTCATTGTTTCCATTTTCATACACGAGTACATAATATTCCACCACATTCACCCCCTACACCCTTTCTTTATATCCTCCCCCTCCCACTGGTACCAAACCCCACACAGGATCTGTTTTACCTTCCTGTTCTCCATTTTAGAGGGGGAAAAAAAAAAAAGACATTTTTGTTTAAGATAGTTATACAGGCTGGGCGCCCGTGGCTTATACCTATAATCCTAGCTACTCAGGAAGTAGAAATCAGGAGGATCACAGTTCAAAGCCAGCCCCGGCAAATAGTTCCTGAGACCCTATTTCAAAAATACCCATCACAAAAGAAGGGCCGGTGGAGTGGCTCAAGGTGAGCTCAGACCCCAGTATTGAAAAGTAAAAAAGTTTTATAGGGAGTTTCATTGTGACATTTCCATGCATATATGTATTGTATCCTGAATCGGTTCATCCCCTCTATTTTTCTCCTTTCTACCTTAGTCCCACTCATATGGTGATTTCAACAGGTTTAAAAATTCCATATTCATTCTCGTATAGAGAGTACATCAACCATATTCACCTTCTCGGCTTCCTTCTTTACCCTCCCTCTCCCGTTACTGCCCTCCCTTAGCCTGGCCTGTTTTTCATAGCATTGCTTGTATTTGAACTGGGCCTATATTCTCCGGCCTTTGGTAAAGCCAACATTTAGAATTCAAGAGGCTTCTTCCAGTTCTCTTCACCCCCCCATCACCAGAGCAGCAGCTGAAGGGCTGAGCTGGGGACAAACCAGTCTCTTGTTTAGAAGGCAGGAAAAGGAAAGGGTGTGATTCATTCGGAGTTGTTCTTTTGCCCTGACCCCCATGGTTCTGGAAGCCCACACTGGCTTTTTCTGTCTCCCAGGTAAGACCATCAGAATTTGCCCCACTTCTGAGACCCCAAGCCTTGACCTTTTCATTACCCTGGGGGTCTTGCCCCAAGGAGGAAAAGCCTAGACCGTAGCCTCTGCCAGGCTGATGAGGGCCTCCCCATAACACCAGGTGCTCTGTCTTCCAGGTCCACCTGGCCGGACAGGTAACCGGGGAAGGCAAGGACCAAAGGGCAAGGCCGGGGCCATCGGGCGGGCTGGCCCTCGAGGCCCCAAGGGCGTCAGTGGTACCCCTGGGAAGCATGGCACGCCAGGCAAGAAGGGGCCCAAGGGCAAAAAGGGGGATCCGGGCCTCCCGGGCCCCTGCAGCTGCGGCAGCGGCCAGGCCAAGTCGGCCTTCTCGGTGGCAGTGACCAAGAGCTACCCTCGGGAGCGCCTGCCCATCAAGTTCGACAAGATTCTGATGAACGAGGGCGGCCACTACAACGCGTCCAGCGGCAAGTTCGTGTGCGGCGTGCCGGGGATCTACTACTTCACCTACGCCATCACGCTGGCCAACAGGCACCTGGCCATCGGCCTCGTGCACAACGGCCAGTACCGCATCCGCACCTTCGACGCCAACACCGGCAACCACGACGTGGCCTCGGGCTCCACCATCCTGGCTCTCAAGCAGGGCCACGAGGTCTGGCTGCAGATCTTCTACTCGGAGCAGAACGGGCTCTTCTACGACCCTTACTGGACCGACAGCCTCTTCACCGGCTTCCTCATCTATGCCGACAAGGACGGCCCCAACGAGGTCTAGAAGGACCGAGGTCTGCACCGGGGTGCATTCTGGACCTGTGCTCACGGAGCAAGACCTCCCGAGCTGTAGGCTGGGGGCCTCCTCTGCTGGGTTGTTGTTGTTTTGTTTTGTTTTTTTTCATCATTAAATCCAGACTTTTTGATTCATTCATTCTTTGGGTTTTTTTTCTTTTCTTTTTTTGGCCTTACCAGGGCTTGAACTCAGGGCCTTACACTTGTGAGGCAGGCGTTGTACCATTTGAGCCACTCCACAAGCCCTTTTTTGTGTGGGGTACTTTTTGAAATAGGGTCTCAGGAAATATTTGCCCAGGCTGGCTTTGAACTTCGATTCTCCTGATTCTGCCTCCTGAGTAGCTAGAATTACAGGTGTGAGCCTCCAGGGCCTGGCCATCTGTTGACTCACAAATCGTTTTAGTATCTGCCATGTAACAGGCACTGTGCTACATACTCTGGAAGTTACAGTGATGGACGAGACAGTTTCCTTCCTTTCTCATGGGGCTTACATTCTAGTGGGAGACCAATTCACAAACAAGCAAATAATATTGTTATTATGCCACGATGGAAATAGATAGGAGTGGGATAATCAGAGATGGGAGAGGCTGAAATTTTCTTTTAGAGTTCATCTTTTCAGGTTCACTTATATACACATTTACAAATTTTAAGTGCACAGCTAATGAATTTTTACCTATGTGCACACCTTGGAACTACTGTGTAGATCAGGAACAAACTAGGCCAGGCACAGCAACTCATGCCTATAATCCCAGCTCCTTGGGAGCCAGAGATTGGAAGAATCAAGGTAGAAGATCAGCTCAGGCAAAAAGATAGCAAGACCCCATCTCAACCAATAAAGCTGTGTGTGGTGGGGCACTTCTGTGGTCCCAACTGCATAGGAGGCAGAGGCTGGAGGATCACAGTCCAAAGCCAGCCCACGCAAACAGCATGACACCCTATCTGAAAAATAACTGAAGCAGAAAAAGGGCTGGAGGAGTGGCTCAAGTGACAGAGTGCCTGCCTAGCAAGCATGAGACCTCAGTGCCACCCAAAAAAAAAAAAAAAACGAACTTCCAGCCTCCATTCCCCTGTCCTGAGGCTTTCTTAAGACCCCTCCTGGCCAGTACAGATGTCCCTTGGTTCACATGAGAATTACGTCCCCCAAACTCTTCACAAATTGAAAATGACTAGAAGCTGAGCCTGCATGTAAACACGCCTCACCTACTGAGCATCATAGCTCAGCAGCACAGCCTTTTCACTCTTGGCAGTGGCTTGCGGTGTGTTCTTCACAAGAGAACACACACTGCATAATGGTAGGCAGGGGAAAACACAGAAACTCAAAGTACAGTTTCCACTGAATGCATTTTGCTTTGCACCATCACAGAGTCAAAAAGTCATTGAGGCAAACCATCGCAAGGACATACAGCAATGCTAAGGACTGGGGGTGAGGGGGGATGTGGAGGGAGGGAGGGCTCCCCTGGCAAGAGCTGCAGGAACGAAGACCTTGATATAGGAAAGAGCTTGGTATAGTTGAGGGACAGACTGAAGGCCAGAGGGATGGAGAGGTGAAAAGGAGAAGGGCAGCATGAAGCTGGAAGATCATACAGAACCCCGAAGGCCATGGCTAAGTTCATCACACTCAAGAAAGCTCATTTTATCCCGGGATGGTGGCTCATACCTATAATCCCAGCTACTCAGGAGGTGGAGATCCAGTGCAACAGGTTATCAAGACCCAAGTTCAACAAACAAGCTGGGCATGGTGGTACACACCTGTAATTCTAGCTACAAGAGAAGCATAGGTGGGAAGATTGAGGTCCAAGACTGGCCTAGGCAAAAAGGGGGACTGTATCTGAAAAACAACTAAAGCAAAAAGGGCTGGAGGCATGGTTCAAGTGGTAGAGCACCCGCCTGGCAAGCACAAAGTCCTAAGTTCAAACCCCAGTACTATCAAAAAGAAAAACAAGCAAACTGATTTTCTCCGGACGCAAGAGTGAGCACGACACTAAATATAGGCATAATCTATTGCTGATCGCAATATAGACTCACAGCATGAGCCAGGCCACTCCCAGACTCATTGGGCACTTATTATTAGTAACAAGTCACTTGCCAGCACACCCCTCCATCAGTGAGACAGACCAAGATATCCCGGCATTCCTGAGAACCATTGCTCTAAAAATGGCGGAATGGATCCTGCACAACAAATCTTCACCCCCTCCCTCAGCCCAGGAGTTCCCAGTGTGCAGAGATCTGAGGGCCTAAGATGCCACAGTGCAGTGGAGCCGCTACTCCCTGGCAGCTTGCTCTGACCCCTAGGGACAGGAGGCACTGCATGGAGTGGGCCTGGAAAGACTGGCCCCAGGCAAAAAGAAAATGGGGTTGATTTAACATAACTTCATTCTCACTGGGTCACAAACCATGTGAGATTAGACTGGGTCTGAGAAACCCAGGCAGAAATCCGCGGTCCAAACAGATCTATATGTGGGTCCCATCCTGTCCGGCACCCCTGGGAGGACCAGCTTCTGAGAGCCAGTGGTACTTTTGTTTGTAAACACTTCTTTTTCTTCCTCCCTCCCTTCCCCGACCTGGTGATACATACCTGTAATCCCAGCACTCAGAAGGTTGAGGCAAGAGGTTTGTGAGTTTGAGGTCAGCCTGGGATACATAGTAAGACCCTGTCTCAAAAAAATAAGCAAACAAAAAATTTAGGAGACCCTTCAGCCACTTCATCTTCCTTCCCCAGAGATGTAAGATTTGAAGGTAGTAGACTTAACACCAGGTATCCTGGGTAAGAAATCCAGCCTAAGCAAGACGGCAGGACCCCAAAGCTCTGTGGCTGCCATGTCTGGGCCTCACCTCAACCCATGTCTCATTCCTTGGCACCCAACCAAGGAGACCAGGGAGAGCGACAGGGATCACAGGAGAACCCCAGTACTCTGTGGGGGTGGGTGGGGGGACTCAGGTGGGGGAAGAGACCTTACAGGGCCTGGGGCTGGGCTCTTGTCTTCCTTGGATGAGGTCCCAGATTGCTGGAGATGGTAGGTTTCTGACAAGTGACAGAAGCATGTGACACAGTTAAGGGATCTCTGGTGGCCAGCTGATGGCTGGTTTATTCCCTAACCCTTCTGAGGGTGGCTGCTTCTTTGGTGAGCCTCTTAGAGTTCCCAGGATGGCGGCCCAATTGAGGAAGGTGTTCCCAGAAGGTGGACTTCCCAGATGCATGGGGACCCCAGTCCCTCTTCCTAGTTCTGTCACTTACTAGGGCCTCAGTAACCAGGGCCTGTCTTTAGGTCTGCACATTTGTAGGTAATGATGAAGATGCTTGGATCCAAAGGGCTCTTCTCATCCAGGATACACAGCGAAAGGCTCCATCCTCTTCTGGAGAAATTGTGCCGGATCCGAAGCTATGCTTATCACAGTGCAAAAGCGGTGGACCCCACTGCCCTGACAGGGCTCAGGGCAACCTGACAAATGAGGGTACCTGGGGGGAGGTCTTCCCATGCTGACTCACTTATGATCAGAATTATGACTGGGGAAGCACTCACCTAGAGGGTGCCAAAAGCTCAATAATACAAATAATATTTTAATACAATATGCTAACCAAAATTAATGCAGAAATGATGAGCAAAATATCAAAATTTTAAATAAAGACGGGATCTGACAGGGTTGAGGTGGGGAAAGTGGGGGAGGGAAAGCTGTACAAGCACAGGTTGAACCCTGATCCACCCAACAGCAGTACCGGAGCCCTAGGCAGCCCCAGCTGGTAGGAGGAAACTCTTCTCTTCCCTCCTGCTTGTCATCTTCACCTAAGCCACTAGGGGGCGAACGTCTACCACACAAGTCTGCAGCCAAGAAGCCAAGGCTGGAGCTCTACCTTGGTCTCCACTGTTTCCTAGATTCAGAGAAAGAGATCATAAGATCCATGATCTTATGTGGCCATGACCCTAGGCTGGAAAAAAAAGAAGGAATACGAGCCTCGCCTCTTCGTGACATTTTCACTTGCAGGGTTTGAAGCACCCTGTACATGGCAGTGATAACCTGGTATGTGCAGGTTGGAAACAAGAAATCTGAGTTCCCATCCTTCTGTGTCTTCTGGTTCATTGTGTGGTTTTGGCCACATCACTTAATATCTGGTGGCCTGTTTCCCCAGCTATAAAATGAAGGGTTGGGCCAAATGATCTCCCAGTCCACTTTGGCACTAGATATTTGTTTTGTCTCCAAAACAGAGGTAGGGAAAGAGCCTTCAGTTCCTGAAACACATATTTTAACAGCTGGATAAATCCAGCTCCCACACCGGGGCCTCCACTCCCACTGAAGCCTTTTAACAGATTACTGCTGTTAGGCTTCTGGAGCTAGAATGTAAGTAATGGTAACTCTTCCTGACCAGGCTGTATGATACTTGATAGCCTCTTTTCCTCTCCTCCATACCCCTGTGAGCAGGAGCCAGGATCACCCACCTCACTTTACAGATGGAGATATTTGTGACCTAGACAGGTGAGGTCAACGCCAAGGTTACCTCACTGGTAAATGACATCACTGGGATTGGACCCAGCACATCTGAATCCAGTAGGGGGACTGTCACCAGTGGTGACCATGAGCAGGTCAGTCTATGAGCAACAGACCCTCCTGGCCACCCGTGGCTCCCAGGAGGAACGGGGACCCCAGTTCCAGGAGGAACCATGGGAGGAACCAGAGGAAAAATCGCCATGAATGTGAAACCCTCCTGAGTGTCAAGGAGCTCAAAATAATTTCCCTCCCAAAGCAAGATCTTGTCTGTTCAGGAAGGTTTCATTTCAACACAGGTGTTCCAGGGATACTCAGGAAGGAGTGTTCTGGTGATCCCCAAGTCAGGCCAGAATTCATCTGGCTCCAGAACCTACCCAGACTTTCAGAGACTCCCCTAGGGGTGGGGAAACAACTGCCCTTCCTATGTGCCCTCTCTTTTTACAGTCTGACTCTTGAATGGGCACCGCCTCTGAGTCTAGGTAGAGTGTGGCCAGCACTGCTGATCCCTGGGACAAACTTCAGGAGAAGTTCCATCCTGCTTTTCAGAGAGAAGTGAGACAGGCAGGGTCTTTCTATCCATCCTCCCCTTCCCTGGGGTCCACAGTTGTTCTTAGACACA